GATTCTGCCATGACCTCCTGTGGTTGCCTGTCTTTCCCACCTCCAACTGTGTGGACTAATGAGAGGAGCTGTATCTCTCAATTAGACATTTACATTGGAAAGAATTAATATGAGATTCTGGTTGTGATTTCTGCACTTAATCTCACAAAACCCAGGAATTTTCTGGATCTGAAAACCATAGTCTCCTTTGATTCTTGTAGCAGGCCTCTCCTGAGGCCCACCACTCAGGGTAGCTGGGCAGACTTGCACTTCCAACACTTGTTTCGTGAATACATAAGCAAATTATTTCAATCTCCAAGGCTTTCACAACCACCAAATTCAATTACACAATGCAAAACAGTGTATAAATAACAACAATAATTTTTAGGTTGCACCCAGCCTTATCCGAGCTGAATAAATTCTTCTCAAGTCTTTGTACGTTTAGAAGCATAAGAAAAAGTTCTAAGAAGGCTTTGCTCTATGAGAATATGAAAAAAATAACTGGAATAATAATTCTGGCTGCCTTTGAGAGGTAACAGTGGAAGGTCTCCTTGAATCTGATAGCACCAGTAGTTACACTGTACACAGCTGGAAAGAAAACAAAAATAAAGAAAATAAAAGAAATTTGATCTCTAGATTCTGAGTAACTGGAAATGAAAACCAGTACTAGTGTAATTTGACCAGTGAGTCAATAGTGGAGAAGGGGAACCTTACTTTATCTGAAGCTGCAATAGGCTTAGAGTTAATAATCATTTAATCTCATTTAAAAAAAAACACAAAACAGCAAAGAGAAAATTTTTGGCTGTAACTTGTCATAAATACTTCACTCTAGATCTGTCCCAAACTAGAGATTTCTGAAAAGTTGTTATAAATAGAAGAGCCAGTAGCAGAGTGTATGAGCAGAAAGTAACTTCAGACTTGTGAACGCATGGGTGATTCAGGCAGCTGGGGACCAAGATCTGATTTCCACCCAAATTTTAGGTTTAGCAAATCAAAATTAATAACACAATTGCTTAAACCACAGAGAAACCTAGGTACGTAATATATGTAAAGCAGTTATTTCTCTGAAGGCTATTCCTTGATTTTATAGAAGGATCTATCAATTTTTATGCATTCTATAGATAAAGGGAGAAAGGGAGTTGTGTTAGAAAGCTTGTGATGAAAGATCCCGAGTGCTAGTCCAACACCTTTTACCCAAGCCCCTGCTTCACTGGCACTTTAGGGAACTTGGGCATGGACCGTCAGACGGTTCTGCTGGGCTCCTTACATTTAGGAGCTGCTCAGGTGTCTGCTTGCAGCGGCCACATCCTGCACCAGCTCCCTGACTGTTCATCACTGGGTACTTTGAGCACCACAGCACCTTTTTTACAGATGCAGTTTCAGTGAGGGGGTTTCTTAGCTGCTCATTGCAAGCTGCTTCGGAGCTTAGGTTTCTATTTGTAAGGGCACTCCCTTCTGTTTTGGTATGTGTGTATATACTGCGTTAATTAATTTAATTTCTTCTTTAACCACTGTCTGAATAAGTTTTGAATAGTCAGCTGATATCGCAGGTTTTAACTTAACCAGAATATTATGATACACTGAAAGCTGTATTTTTTCAATTTTTTCTTTTTTTCACCCTAAACAATAAATCTTACAACAAATTTCCTCAGATTCCAAGGTTTCACAGGGAGGCATTGTATATAGAATACTTGACTCATTGCAGATCTTTAACGTTTCCATACTTAATTTCATTACGGTAGGAAATTTCTTTTGAATTCTGCTCTTTAGAAAAAGGAAGTTTTAGCCCCTCGAAGACCCAATAAATTACTGAAACAGGGCAATTTATGATCTTCCATGCATCTCTGCAAAGAAAATTCTCCCTGCAGGTAGACTCAGTCTGTCTAAGATTCAAAGATATTAGAGGCAATTTTATGAAAGGGATCATTAATTATAAGACATGAAATTTTAATAGGAGGCTTCTTTTTCCTGATATCTTGCATGAGCCAAGATCAAAGTAACTCCCATATGTTGACCTAGTAAGCATGTTAACTGAGAGGATCAGCTTCTCTGGATACTCGTCCGTCCTTTTTAACCTCAGAAAAATCACACAAGTGATGTATTTTGTGAGAGTGTTCGTTTCAGTGTGGCCATACAAGGTGGCTAAACGTTGCTTCTTGTTCACGAGAAGACAGGACTGGGTTCCGCCCGTGACAGTTAACCATATCATTACAGTCAGAACAAGGGTTCCTGATGCCTTATCAAAGATTACCAAGACTTGCATTTGCACTTTCAGCTTTCCTGCTGCTTGACAAGATGCCTAGTTGTACCTAGTCTTTTATAACAGGGTTAAAGGAACTGTTTTCCTTCCATATAACACAAGCCACAAATCATTAATTAACCCCATTGTGATAATCCAGATTTGGCTACTTTCTCTGCATGGTTGAGCTCAAATGCACACTTTTCTTCCATTAAAGTTGAGACCAGAAGGGATTCATATCACTCTGTATCAGTGATCTTTCCTCTCCATTATGACTACTCCCTCCATCTTTATGTCCTCTGAAAACTTTATTAGTGATGATTTTATATTTTATCCTACGTCATTGATAAAAATGTTAAATAGAACTAAACACACTGGAACTCAGATAGAAAATGTACCCAGTCAGCAATGATTAGTCACTCACAATTACATCTGGAGAGCTATCAATTAACCTGTTTTTGATCTATGTAATTAGTGCTATATAATGTATTGTTCTAATTTCATAATCAAAATGTCACATGTCACCAAGTCAAATGCCTCACAGGAGTTTAGTGTATTATATTCACACAATTACTTTTAGTAACTAAACTTCTAATCACATTACAGTATCGAGACCAAATTTCCAACAGCCCATATTGATTTGCCTTAATTATATTATTGTGCTTTAATTCTTTGTTAATGAAGTTCCATATAATCTGTTATTTTGTACAGGACAATAAATCCATTCTTATCTCAGCCATTTACTTTAGATTTTACTTTTGAGCTTCAAAGTTGTTTAAGATCTATTGAAAAAACAGTACCTGTGGTCCAGTGAGCTCCTCTTTTAGAAACATACTAAATTTCTTGCATGCAAGTCACCTATTGATTTACTGTTGATAATACTGGTATCTGTGTTTTAACTGAATTGCTTTTAGACTGGAAAGTGTTTCATCATCCTCTAAAGAGACAATATCATGTGTTTTTTTCTCATCTATAAAAATACTTGGTTATTGAATGTTTCTGCCTTTTCTGTGTTACTACTCACATTGTATAGTACCATGCAACTACTTTTGTTAGGATTTGTTGATTCAGCTCAAAAATGTCTTTCTATAATCTTTAATTCTACTTGTCACAGATTTCCGTTGTGCCCTTCTGCTTCCCTTATCAATTTCCTTCTGTTCCTAGTTCTTGGTGTATATTCAGTTTATATCAATTTCCTTATAGTTGTGTTATACATATATATAATCTGTACTTTGAAGTGCATATATCTCACAAGTACTTAATCATTTGATACTAGTAAACAAACACAAGATTATGGAGAAACAGTAGTTTATCCATATTTAAAGTTGTAATTCATTTCCAGTGTGTGGGTCTGATTTTGGTCTTCGTCTTCATATGTAAATTAAATATGTATATATCATATATATATCTGCTTCATAGTGTGTTATGATTTAACCCCAGCCAACAACTAGTAATCCACCGCCTCTCACTCAGCCCACTTCCCCCTCCCCTTGAAGGGTAGAGAGAAGAGGGAGAAAGGGAGGAGAAAGGGAAAAAACCAAAAAAAACCCCACATAGGTTGAAGTAAAGTTTAATAGAACTGTCTATTTTAATAATGGAAAAATAAGGCAACAACAATAATAATAATAATAATGGTAAAAGAATATACAAGATACAAATCACTCTTACTGCCCAGTTAATTGGTTGCCCAGTCTGACCTGAGCAGAAATCATGGATTCCCCTCCTTCCCTGGCCAATCCCCATTTATATACCCAGCATGATGTCCCTGGTACAGAATATTCCATTGGCCATTCTATTCTGCCTATGCTCCTTCTCAGCTTCTGTGGGAAGCTGAAAAAAGTCTTTGACTAATAAAAACGTCACTTAAACTTCACTACTAAAACAATATGCATTATTGACATTCCTTTCATACTAAATTTGAAATACAGCAACCACTAGAAAGAAAATTAACTCTATCGCAGCTGAAACCGGGACATAATGTCATATGAGGTCTGTATCTGAGGTAGAATTTACCACAAGATCTGAAGGAAATTAATGAAATGTTTAATAAATAATGAGATCTTAAATGTGTATGATTTCATCATAATAATAAAAGGTGAAGATTTGGTTTTGCTGAGCAGAAAAAAAGTGGGAAAAAGAGAGAACATATTTTGTACGATGCATATGTACAAGATCGATGCACAACACTGATGTTCCTCTGAGGAAATTTGTTTATTATCTACCTCTGGAAGGGATTTATTTCTTCAACAGTGTTGATCCCCCAAATAAAAACATCTAATAATAATATCAAGCAAAAACCAGAAATCATAGACAAGAAATTACTTATGTCAGAACTGCCCCAGTTTGCCCAGCCTGATAACTACCTCTTGCTTAGTCTAACTGGGATAAAAGGAATAGGTACTACATCTCCTGGGAAGACCATAATCTGGGAGGATGAAATAACCCACTGTACTTCCAAAGGGAGTGTTTAGGCAACAGCATCATATTCTCATTATTGCTTTCTTTCTCCTTCCCCTTTATTCCTTTTCTGCAAAACACTGAAAACTTTTCTGAAGAGCAGGACAATTTCAACAGTGCAACTGAAGAAGACCTGCGCTCTCTCTTGCCTGTGTCCCCCACGCACACAGGTTGTGAAGCTGCGCACTGCAAAGCCAAGCACAGGTTAAACTGAGATCTCCCAATTTCTGAACTAGTACTGTAGGAGTTACTTTATTATCTGAAAGGGAGAAATGTGCATTTTATGGTTGTGACTGAAGATTTCATGGTTGCCACTGTGTTTTAGATGGGATCCAGCATCCAACATGTCAAGCCCAGCAAGGGACTTAAGTAGAGGAAACTCAACTGGAGAAGTCTCAATGGCTCAGCCATGCCCAGGCAACAGACTGCAGTCCCCCAGGTAAATTTTATGGCCAAGCCACAAGGTTCATGTCTCAGACACTTCTGTGGTTTCTGCAGGATTTTTTGGGTCACCCTCCACTTCTGGGACCAGGCACCCAAGAATTTTGCTGAATTTGTCTTTTGGTGTCAACAATAGTGTATCCCCAGTTGCATTCAGCACTGGCTCTGACAGAAAAGCTGCCAGCATTTGCTCAGCAGGCAGTTTTGCTGAGCTTGCTGTAACTGGGTCCTCCAGAGTATTGTACAGCTTTTTCCAAACGTAATAATTAAGATTCTTTGGACCAGTAGGACAAGCTGATTGCCATTAGCAGTGCCTTTTTCTCTCTGTTGCCACATATGCACTGATGTTTGTTTTTGTTATTGTAAAAGTAAAGTATGACTGCATTTTCCTCCTCTTCTTTTGATCCTAATGCTCAGCTTGCCCCTGAACTTTTGATATCCCCCTCTGTTTCATAGTGTTTGATCTAGCTATCTAGAAACAGGGAACACACAGGATCACAGCATCCAGAGGTCCATGTTAAGAAATTAATTTGGAAAGCAAAGACTTCTTCCTTCCCTCAGTTTTATCACTTCATCAGAAATTCAAGTGATTTCATGTGAAGGATGTGATTCAAGCCACAGCACATCCTAGTTTCCAGGACTCCCTATGGTCCCTTTCCGTGAGCTGTGTTCTGGTCCAGTCTTGAGTTAAATTTCCATGTGAAGGTGCAGATGAGGCTGTTGTAGTTCCTTCAGCTCTGTTTTGATATACAGCAGTGCTACATAGCCAGGTATATACCAAGGATCCTTGGGAATTGAGTCTTCCAATCCTTACCTTAGGTGCAACTTCACCTGAGCTTTGGATCCCCTATATTTTCATGAGATCTTCATTTATAGTCAAATCGCATAGGAACTAGAATAAAAGATTAGTCTGTAATCTTCTCATATAACTGACCGCACGCATGGTGTACAATTCATCACCACAGCAGCATTCTCCTGTTGTTTGGAGAATGCTTAAAGGACTTTTGTTTCTAAATGACTTAATATGATATTGATCTCTGATTTTTCATACAGCTCACTAGACTGATTGGTGTTTCTCTTTGTCAGTGTTATTAGCAACAACAAGGGAATCTATTACCTGCTGGCTACTGTCAGTCATCAGGCAGAGAAAATAAGTTATTCATACTTCTTGTTAAGCATGGCAGGCGTTAACAATATTTAGCAGAAGTGTTCTTTTTTTTGTAGTTTTGTTTCTGTTCTCTATTTACGAGAAAGCCCCACCCTTTTTATTACTGCATCTTCCCCATGACTTTTTTTACAGGAGATGAGTTCTTTATAATTAGAAGAATTTGTGTCAAATTAAATGAGAAACTGCCATGAATTTCCTGTTTTAATGAAACACTGAAATCAACACTTCACTAAGCAAAAGAGGAACAGGGAAACAGATCATTTTGTTAGCTGAGCAGAAAGGTATTTTTTAGTAAGTATTAGGGAAAGCACAACTGAAGATTTCTCTAGATATCATTGCCGAGAGCTCAATAAAGAGATTTTCTTCATATACCAAAATTAAAAAATGGATGGATTTAATAACATGTTAATAAGTACAAGATTAACATTATATAAACCTTAAATGATGACCTAGCCAGTTACCTCATTTCCAAAGATATGGTTGTCACTGCATTGATACTTTTCTCATACGAATATGTCTCAAAGAGCAGCAAAATTAACATTGAAGAGTTTTTGTCCCATGGGCATTGAATATAAGGATGATTCCTCCAACACAGTGATGAACTGAGCAAAGGTTTAAATACGACATAAAAATCAGGGCCTTTCTTCTGACTTTGACTGGTGTGTGGGCAGAAAGAGGAGACAAGGGCACTAGGACATGGCTCACAGGGAACTCACATAACCTAACAGGCTGCAGATGTCTACACTGAAGCTTATTGTCTGACCTCCCCTTTCTGTTCCTGGAAAGGAAGAGGTACTTCCAAGGAGAGAATGATTCATGTCACTACAAGATAGGCTATGAAAATAGGTGAGAGAAATCATATCTCAAATGAGTCTGTTTCTATCCAAGAGCCCACCATGACTAAGGTGAATACAGATGTTTCTGTGGCAGACATATAGCGTTAGTAGACCTTCATGCCCCTCTTGTTTAGAGGAGGTGATGCTGGTGATTTCTTAAGGAAACCAGGTGTGTGTGCATGTGTGTTCCTTTGACTGTGTATCTCTGACTTGCTGGTAATTTCTGAGTCCATTGACCAATTACTATGATTCTGTGTTGCTAGTTTCAATATCATTTGGCAAAGAACAATGTTCTTGGATTCTCAAGTAGCTGAAAATTGTTATCATTCTTTATTTTGAGATTATCTCAGACACACACACGCCCCAACTACTGCTATAAAAGTAAAGATTTCCTGACTGGAACTCCTGCAAATGATTCTAAGAGTTTGCTTAGTAGAAAAGCTCATCCACAGTTCTTCTAATTCTGATTTGAGATACTTCTCAGACTTTTTTGAAGATATCCACTCTTCTGCTTTACCTTCAGCACATAGGCCATCTTATGCTTCTACAGTTCATAGGACAGAAGTCACCCCTCAAAATTTCAGTGGTGTCTATTTTACTCAAGATTTTTTTTTTATTTCCTGCCTGTTGGTTCCCTTTACTGTTGATATTTTATGTAGATGAGTAGTAGCATTGACCGGAAAAAAATGAATTGTGAAGTAGAGAGAAAAATGAGGAGACATACAAATATTTTTAAACTATATAAGTGATGTTGGAAGAGGTCAGGATTAATGGGCTTAAATTAATGAGATTCCAGTTAGACCTCTGGGAAACATTTATAGGGGTAAAGTGGTAAATTAAGTTGCCTAGGGAGACCGTAAGAGCTCCATCAGTGGAGGTTTTCAAACACAGGTTGAACAAACCTCTGCCAGGATTGGTGTACTTTTAACTGATCCTGCCTGGAGGAGTCTATTAAATTTGCGTGAAATATGGTTGCTGCTCGCAGAAGTTATACTAACACCACAAGAGTGTCATGATGCAAAAGACACACAGCAGAAGGCAATAGAGACCTATCAGGAGGTGACACTACTGCACTGCTGAAGCTGTGCCTTGCTTTCTCCTTCTTGACTTCCACCTGATTCATCTCTTTCCCCAGTAAAACATGAGAGTGTTGTGCAGCCCCAGAGAGGGCAGGGGCAGAGAGGAGGGATGTGCCCTGAAGAGGATGAGATTTTTTGGTGTGCTACAGATACACTTCCTTGACCATTTCTTTCTTCCCCACTATTCACTCTAGCCATATCTTAATCATGAGGCACAGGAACTACCCATTTCTCCTATCTGGATGCATGCTCCAGCCAAGTCCCTACTCAGTGCCAAGATAAGAGACTTTTCCTTCTCTGCCACAGAAAACCTGATCCTAAGATTGCTTAGAAAGACTGAGCTTCCCAACAAGTTCCTCCCTCTGGACATCAGTGGCGCCAGGACCATGGTACCCTTCAGCAGGACTCTTTATACTTGTTCTCTCCTCCTTCCCATCTGATTTGCATTTTTCAGGTCTTTATCCTGATTTGTTTTTTTCTCTGAGAGCAGCCCTGCAGACAAGGTCTTGGGGGTACTGGTGGATGAAAAGCTGGACATGAGTTGGCAATGTGCTTGCAGCCTTGAAAGCCAGTTGTATCTTGAGCTGTGTAAAAAGCAGCAGGTCTAGGGAGGTGATTCTGCCCCTCTGCTCTCCTCCCGTGAGACTTCACCTGGAGTATTGTGTCCAGCTCTGGGGTTTTCAGTACAAGAAAGACATGGACTGGTTGGACCAGGTCTAGAAGAGGACTGCAAAAGTGATCAGAGGGATGGAGCACTTCACCTATAAGGAAAGGTTGAGAGAGTTGGAGTTGTTGCACCTGGAGAAGAGAAGGCCCCGGCAAGACCTCACTGTGACCTTTCAATATTTAAAGAGGGCTTATAAGAGAGATGGGGACAAAATTTTTATCAATAGGAAAAGAAGTAATGGTTTTAAACTAAAAGGGGGAGATTCAGACTAGATATAAAGAAGATATTTTTTATTATTATGAGGGTGGTGAAACAACCTTGACCATTTCTTTCTTCCCCACTATTCACTCTAGCCATATCTTAATCATGAGGCACAGGAACTACCCATTTCTCCTATCTGGATGCATGCTCCAGCCAAGTCCCTACTCAGTGCCAAGATAAGAGACTTTTCCTTCTCTGCCACAGAAAACCTGATCCTAAGATTGCTTAGAAAGACTGAGCTTCCCAACAAGTTCCTCCCTCTGGACATCAGTGGCGCCAGGACCATGGTACCCTTCAGCAGGACTCTTTATACTTGTTCTCTCCTCCTTCCCATCTGATTTGCATTTTTCAGGTCTTTATCCTGATTTGTTTTTTTCTCTGAGAGCAGCCCTGCAGACAAGGTCTTGGGGGTACTGGTGGATGAAAAGCTGGACATGAGTTGGCAATGTGCTTGCAGCCTTGAAAGCCAGTTGTATCTTGAGCTGTGTAAAAAGCAGCAGGTCTAGGGAGGTGATTCTGCCCCTCTGCTCTCCTCCCGTGAGACTTCACCTGGAGTATTGTGTCCAGCTCTGGGGTTTTCAGTACAAGAAAGACATGGACTGGTTGGACCAGGTCTAGAAGAGGACTGCAAAAGTGATCAGAGGGATGGAGCACTTCACCTATAAGGAAAGGTTGAGAGAGTTGGAGTTGTTGCACCTGGAGAAGAGAAGGCCCCGGCAAGACCTCACTGTGACCTTTCAATATTTAAAGAGGGCTTATAAGAGAGATGGGGACAAAATTTTTATCAATAGGAAAAGAAGTAATGGTTTTAAACTAAAAGGGGGAGATTCAGACTAGATATAAAGAAGATATTTTTTATTATTATGAGGGTGGTGAAACAAAGGAACAGGTTGCTCAGAGAGGTGGTAGGTGCCCCACCCCTAGAAATATTCAAGGTCAGGTTGGACGAGGCTCTGAGCAACCTGATCTAGTTGAACATGTCACTGC